AACACACCCCTTGAAGTGAGCGGTGTTGAAAACAGGACCCCCCCCCCCTGGGGGGGGGGGGGGGGGGGGTCACTCCGTGGTGATGTTGATTGACTACAATAGTTCGTGATGACAGGGTGCAGAAGTTGTTCTGGTTTTTCCGTTAGACCGTCGTGGGCGAGAAAACGCACACCAAAACGCGTCGGCGTATCTGCAACGATGCCTGTCGCGAGAGAGGGTACACGCACGCGCACCCGGCCCAAACGACAGACGTCCCCCGCAACGGTCACTCCGCGTCTCTCTCTCCTGTGCTCATGCACAAGACGCACAAGACGAGACCCCGGAAGAGAGTGATGACGTCACTGATGGCGTCACCAGGCTCCAAGAAACGCCTTCATTCGTTCGCCAGCAACAACGCCCGAGCAACAACCAGCCACCACCACCAAAGAATGCGTCGCCTTGCCCCACAATGTTAACCTCCATGATGCCTCAACACTCTACTCACCTATGTCGCTCTGAACCTTGCGAGGCTCTACCGTTGCCGTCCAGACCGTTGCCGTTGCTGTCAGTCGAGAACACCTCCCCTTCCATGATGGGACTCGGTGTCTGCTCCCAAAAATGTTCGCGAGTTTTTTTTCGCAAAAATGGTCGTGAGATTTTCGTGCATATGTACAGTGCAGTACGTTTCGTGGTGCCACCGTCGGCCAGGCGGCGGGAGGGTGGGGCGCGAAGGCGCAAAAGTACTTCAGCAACCGACAACACGACGTAAAAAAAAAAGCACGCTTCTAGCACAACATGACATGGATGCTGCCAAACTGATGGGGAGATGGGCAGATCATGGTGTGCACGTAGCGGTGCCCGTGCGCTTGAGGAGATCATTATGCCCGATCCTGGTGAGAGAGAGAGAGCACGAATAAGACTGTACACAGATTTGTGAAAAAAAACATTGATTCGTTGAGGTTCGCTAGGCCCTTCGAGACACATCAACTGTGTGAGCCAATATATATCCAAGCTTAGGAAACATCACAGCTAGCAGCCAGCTGTGGGCTGGTCCCGCTGCCTACTCTAATTTTCATCTTGCATCACCTCATCCCTTGATGGCACTGCTGTTCCTTCACGAGCCCACTCCCGAGGGATCACTGTATGCATATGTAACTACAACACAAGAACAGATAAAGACCCCCCCCCCCTCCCCCCCCTCCCCCCCCTTGGCCTTCGCGCCCACCTACCGTCATGCTATTCAGTGGACTGGGTTCTGAAGACACGCCGCTTCCCAGGGCCAAGGCCTTGGCTGCCTCCGCCCCCTTCGCCCTGGCCTCGGCGGCCATGAGAGCCCGCTCATTGGCCGCCGTGGAGGAGGTGCAGATCTCCGGCGCCCAGAAGCACCAGGTGCCCTCGGGCTGGGTCAGCTGATGCCTGTTGATTCGTTCGTTCAACACAACATTAATCACAACAACAACGGACAACGGAAGCGTGAGTGAGCGTTCGTCCGTCCTGGGAACAACAACAACAACAACAACAACAACGTGAATCAAACTCAAACTCGAGGACAAACGCGAACGCGAACGGACTGAAATACCAAGAAAAAAAACTAGTCAATCCATCTGATGATAAAAAAAAGTCTGCAGCAGACGCACACACGCAAAAGGACAATGAAGCAAATAGCCGCTCTTTTGCCAGCTCTTCGTGGTCCGCGGCGGCACAACTCCTCGTCGGCCAAGATCTAGGTCGGGAATGATACGGCATGAATCACAAAAAACAGCCTAGCCCCTCCGCACCGCGTCGCAAAAAACGAAAAACCACACCCGCGGCAGGCATCGTGCCGACGCGAGCAAAACAAACAAGCTGCTCCTGCGTAGCTTCCGTCGTTAGCGGCCAACCAATGTTACGAGCGTGTGTGTGTCACCTATGTCGCTGCGCCGACTCCGCCGTCACCGCCGCCGTGGAAGGGGACTCGCCGTTCCCCCCGCTGCCGCCCCCGCCGCCGCCCGCCGCCGGCGGTATTTCTTGCTGTTGTTGTTCGGCGGGGAGACCGTTCCGAACCCGCCCATTCCGCGGCAAAATTGTCGTCGTCGCCGTCGCCGTCGCCGTTCCGACAGACAGACGGGCAGGGGAGGGGAGGGGAGGGGGCGGAAGCGTGTCAGCGCGTCAGGGGCGAGATAAACGAAGCACAGCGGAGCCAGGGTCGAGGAGCCGCGAGCGGGTGGCGGATGGTACGATCTACAGTACCACAGTGTGCAAGTGTGCACCATCCGACTCGACGCTGACACGCACGCGTGTGCACGCCGGCATCGGACGAGTGCCGAGCACACTTGACGTGACTTTAGACCCCACTCGCGCACATCGAACGCTGCAGGCGCCATTCTTCACGTGGACGGGCATGACGTATTCGATGCCGCAGACCACTTCAAACAAACACAAACGGAACAACAAATCCAGCCAAGAAACAAGAAAACAAAACACAAAACCCCTGACTAATACAGCCTAGAACACGCGCGCGTGTGCTCAATCTCGTGCCGTGGCTTTTTCACGCTGGCCAATTCGCTGCGACCACCCATCGGGATCGGACCAAAAAAAGTGTGGCGTCGTCATCATCCTGTCCGGAAAATCGAAAAATGACGTGCCTCATCGAACACTTGCGCTACTCCGAAGTCGGCGAGCTTCGCCACGCCATCCTTGGTCAAGAGGACGTTCTCCGGCTTGAGGTCTCGGTGCACGACGTGGTTCCCGTGCAAGAATTCCTGCGAGTACCCCGACGACGACAACGATGACGACAACAACATCGAAGGGAAATGAGAGAGAGAGAGAGAGAGAGAGAGAGAGAGAATAAAAAAGCAGGTTGCAGACACGTACAACGAATAGAAAACAAAACACAGATGTGAAAAACACACGCAGATGTTGTTAGATTCAAAGGGGAACTAAAAAACTGCGATTGGTTGAAAAGAACGGCTCCATTAGAACGGACCTTGATCATTGTCTACATTTCCACCCGAGGGGTCGGGCACGAAAATCGTATCGTTAAGAAAACACTACCGACACGACTGCACAAAGGCAGAAATAAAAGGGGCCCTCCCTACGAGCGTGGCGATACCGCCTGACAGAGGGGGAACAGCCCGAAGACGCGGGACACCAGGCCGAGACAGACAGACAGACAGACAGACAGGCATGCAGGCAGAGTAACATAAACCACGCACGCAAAAGAAAGCTGTCTACGTTAGAATAAAACAACCATCCAGAAACAAAAGGTCGAGCAACAAGACCCCCCCCTCGAGGACACACAAGCAAGGACAAAAAAAAAACGCTGCGGAACGGGAGGGCACGGAGGACACATCATGTCTGTCCGCATCACACAACGGAATGACACGACAAACACTGCGCGTGTATACGCAGACCAGATGAAAAATACACACAAGCACACTTTTTTTTTCGACATGACAACAAAGCAGCGGCAGAGGTCGTTGTTTATTCCGGGAAGCCGAGTTCGTACTACTATTTCATGTGTAGAGGAACCTCAACACAAAAACTACTACATCATAGCACCGTATGATTAAAAAAAAACTGTGAGACATGGCGAGCGGGATATGCATGCATAGCACGTGTCTCTGTGTGCTTGTACGTGTATTTTCTTTTAAAATACCACCACCGAGTGAATTAACAAAAAAGAAAAAGTCCAAAAATCCCCACCAGTCCGTCGAGCATTCCCCTGAAGTAGACCGCGGCGGTCTTGGGCGGCAAGACGCCTCCCGTGGCGGGGCTCAGGTACTGCCCCGTGGCCTCGTCCCACACCATCACGGGACCGTTGTGGACGAACTCCATCGCCTGTTGGTTGCAGGGTTGTATTTAGTATTTAGTCGGGCGAGGCCCAAGAGCGCGAAAAAGGCGTAGAAAAAGCTGGGTATATGTACACTTCGAAGTACTTCGTTAATAATGAAAAATCGCAACACGCGCACGCCGCGAATGGAAGGAAACGGGGCCGTTTTTGGGCCCGAACGCTAGACCACGTCGTCGTTTACGGGAACGGCGGCAGCTAGCAGAACACCAAAATAAACGGGAAGACGTCGGGGCGCTCACTCACGAACAAACACGAAAAGGGGCAACGAGAACAAAAACAGTTGTACTCTCTCTCTCTGTGCACGCTTCCATTTCACAGTCATTCTCTCTCTTAGCACCCCCCCCCGAGGTCAATGGTCTAACGACTACGGCATGCACGACTATGAGTACCCCCCCCCCCCCCCCCCCCTCTCTCCCGTTCCCCTATTATATGAAAACAAAAACTCCCCCTGAAAAGGAAAACATTCTTCGGGGCGTCAATCACCCCCCGCAACCCCTCGAAGTTCGGGGGGACCAGCTTCTTCATCAGGGGCACCTCACCATGGAAGTTCTGCAGCACTTGCGAATCTCTCTAAAATATATAAACCGCCGCCCGCGTTCATCCAAG